GTTAGAATCTATCATCTTTTTTTTTTTGGCTCAACACCTTTCATGCCCATAAAGGAACTCATTTCGGTGTGGATTTTTCATAAAAACATTGATTAAAGGAACAGAAAATGTTTCAGTTACCACGGACTTTTAAGCTAAGGTTATAACTAATCTTTGATGGCCATTTTCTCACTAATTTTACCTCTGACAGCAGGTGACCCCCCCCCTCCCCTCCTTCTTTTGCAAATATCTTGACTTGTATTCAAGATAAATGGATGCTTTTTCCATCCAAATAAAAACAAGTGAACACGCTTTAAAATGATACCAATAACTCTACAAGACAAGCCCAAAAATTGAAGAGAGATTGATTCCACCACACTGCCTCACAAATAATAATCTTTAAAAAAAAAGCCTTACGTGGTTTCCTCGTCAGCATTCTTCCCCAGCAGAGCGCCTTTCCTAGCCACGTATCTGATGATGGCGCGAGTCTGCACGATCTGACGTCCGTCTATCTCCAGCATGGGGATCTGCTTGAACAGCAGTTTGCCCTCTGGGGAAAGAAAACAGGAATTTTGATATTTATTTCAACTCTCACAATGGCGAATATATAGTATCTCAAGAGGACTGTAGAAGAAATCAGAGAATTTAAATAGGAAAACAACTCTACAGCGTCCATGAAAAAAATATATAAACGAGCAACCCTACCCCCCCCCCAAAACCCAACAAAACAAAATGTAAAATATAAAAATCAACGTAATGTAAAGAAAATCTGGCTAAGACAGTTTTACGTTTAGTAGGCCTAGGTGTTTTACGTACGGCACTAGCAAGATACAGGTAATATTATAAGTGCAGAAGATTAGAGGCGTTACTAGAGACTAACAAACTTTAAAAAGACGAGAGAGAATATGGACTTTAGATTTAGATGCTTGACATGCAAGAGGGAGCAAACCTCTTCAGAGCACCCTTAAATTAAAAAAGAAAGCATAAAAAAACCAAACACCTAATAAATTGAACTAACGAAAACAAACAAACAAAACAACAGCAGCAGCAGCAACAACAACAACAACAACAACAACAACAACAACAACGACCAAAACCCCCACCTTCTATCCATTTCAGGAAATCGCTCCTAGTTTCCGGGTTCACTTCAGTGTACTGTGAGGAGAAAGCAGAACATAACATGCCTTTAGTGGCCAAACATCATCAAACAACAAACAACATAAATACCCTAGCTTGTTACCTTAAATACCCTTCTAAAATACAATCCGTGTATTATGTTTTTATTTGAAAGTACACGACGTATTGTATATTATATCTCCATGAATTTTTTTTTTGGTCATAGACATGGAGGAGAGAGAGAGAGAGA